ATTTTTCAAGTTTGTTATATCCGAAATTTTGACCCGATGGAAAAATGTCTCATAACATATCTTAGATTGACGCAAGTATCGGCAACAGCGCAAATCTGGCGGCGCTCTAATTATTTACGGTGCGTTTATGACGACACAGCAGCGGGTGTTTAACATTTAAATCGCCGGCGCCGGGAGGGGGCCGCGCTCAGTTTGTAGGTTAAGGCGATTATCATACGCGTTAATTATCTATTAGATCAGTTAATACGGTACTTCCGATGCGATTTATTGCGGCGACGTGAAGGAAATGGAAATCGCCAGCGGAAGTATATTGTTGCATATTGTTGATAAATCGAGAAATTGTTGCAAAATAGTTGTCCACCAAATAGTGCCGTAGCAAGTTTATGACTTGATACCTTTTTAGCGGCCACCCTCAGCCTCATTCGAATTCGACCATTTGGCGCCACTTTGTAGGTAACACCTGTCAAAAATGGTTCTTTCGATTTCTGTCTAGCAGGCCAGGTATGAATCTAATAAATTATCCTAGAGATGTCGACCAACAATCAACAGAATCCTCTTCATTCGGCCAACCCCAAACGACTTTAGGAAGGACATCCACAGTTAAGACAAATGGAGAATTTTGAATTCCAATCAAACCCTAGAGAAATCATCAAACCCCAATTAAACCCATCAACTACGCATCCTTTCTATTGACTGGTTCTTCTGTGGAATAGCACTAAAAACGTAGTGTTTCTTTCGGGCTTCCCAGAATCCGACAAGATGTGTGTGGCTATAAAATTAAACCTTACAGAAATGGTTTGGATGGTATAGAGAGGTATTTGGATTCTGAGGATTTTACAGGGTTCTACCGAATCTAATAAGCCCCATGACTACTTGAATACTGCCCTGCTAAGCAATTTGTAAATTATGACATGCCATCTTCGCTCATTTGCAAAACTGTTCTTTTTTAAGATCTCAATGTGAACTTCACGTTAATAAACTTACACAAGAAATTTTAAGGTTGTAAATTTCGGGATTTAATAAAAAATTGACTTTTGTTAGATACGACTTTTTGTTTTAGTATTCTCATACTATTAAGGTATAGACATACTAAGTAATTTTGCAGTATAGTACTCATAGTTTAGCAAATAACATAAAAGCAAACAACACAAACTTTGTAAGAAAAACATATATTAACTAAAAATAATACATTATCTAATATTAGTCACTTTCAATGTCATTTCCGTCGTTCCAGTTGTCAATTCCTTTAGGGGCCAATCTGATCACAGGTTTTGGTAGGTCATTTTTATAATGTTTGGCCAATAGAAAGTTGAGTTCAATCAATGGTCCACTAAATTTGG